AACAATGTTTTCCAATGTTATGTTGTTATATAACCATATTACTTTTTCAAGTGCTGAATGGGATGTTTTTACTACTTCAGAGTCTAAATTAGTTATAAAAATAAAAGACATATTTACTGTATTCAGTCATAATATCTAACCCTGTCTTCGCTAAGAAAGATAAAGAATAACTCCTGGTTTTAACTCTTAACTCCTCACTGTAAAATGTTCTTTTCACTGTAAAATGTTCTTTTCAGATGTTCCTGTAGGGACCACAGTCCAGACTCCATCCCCAGAACCTCGAGATGAACCTCCGTCTTGCTTCAGCTGCTCGGACACGTCGCACATAGATGAGGTGCACAAAGTCATACTTATAGCGGACGACGAAGAAGTCGCCACTAAGGCAATTTTTAAGAATATCTTTGTATATTTAAGGACTCAGAGCATTCATCTGATGACCTCAGTTCTGGAGTGTTTTCTTCCTGCAACAGTCACTCCGGTGGACAGTTGGTGTGGATACCTTCAGCCGATCAAATATCGCCACGATGCTTTGAGGGTAACTTCACTGTAAAAGTCTTGCGCTATATTTGCACACTATTGAACTGGTTGGTTGAATTAAAAATAAATAAATAAAACAAACTGACAAATTCCAGGTGTTGACATTTGGATAGAGGACCTTCAAGGGAAGTGTTTTAGGATCAAAGAACGGCGGAAAGTCAAAGTGGGTCATGTTGCCATAGGAATCAGCGATCAGGTATGAACCTGCTGTTTCAGGTATGAACATATGCTGAGAGGTTCAACATCCTCTCAGCGTATGTTCATATGAGAGTCTCTGGCTTATTCATTTAGATATGATCAGATTGGACCTGATTATTCTTGTGCATTTGGGTCAGAAGTGGTGCAAATCTTGGACGTTTGTCATGGCGGCCTTCAGAATTTAATATCTGTCTTGTAGTGTGAAAATTTGAAAGCTCAGTATGCTGCCAGCAAGTCTGACTGTACGTCTTTTGCAGTCTGTCGAGTGCTTATGATCTCTCTTATTGACTGAAACATCTTTCTTGCATGGAATGAAACATCAACATAACGATGTGTGTTCAATTTTATTCAGGGGGTTGTATAATTTTAAGAAAGCGGTTGCCAATTAAAGGAGGATTTATTGTTTAATTTGAATGAAATCGTCATTTATTTATTGCTAATACCTGAACAGTTTCAAATTCTTCCAAGAAATGGGGCTTAATTATTTTTGCGTCCAACTGGAAGATGCTCTTAGAGTACAGTTCATGTTTCCAGGTTGTTGAGCTGTTGACACCTCAGCTTGTCCTCGATCCTCACAAATCCTCCCATGTGTCTCTCAGATCTCAGCGAAAACCTTCACTTTGGAGACTCTGGACAGAAAGACGGTGTCCTTCGAGGAAGAGATCAGTGAATCGGGATCGTGGTTCCGCTGCGTTCCTGCTCCTGACAGATGTCAGCGCTGGAGCTGGAGAGTCCAAGACGGCAAGCTGGAGCTCAGAGAATGAAACTGACATTTAGTAGTCAGTTAAGCTAATTTTGTTGCAAAAAAGAGAGGGAGAGAGAAAAAACAAAAAGCACAAGAACTCAAAACGCTCAGAACTTGAAGGAGTGTCACATTGTTGTGACCTGGGACCTCTGAACTTCTTCATTCTGATCTTCACAATGTGCGGAGGTGGCTGACATGCGATGAAACTCTCATAAGCTTTATGATGACACCGTGCTGTGGGAATATGATGATGGGAAAACTCCAGGAGGAGTGTGGCTAGTAAACAGAAAAAATATATTTGCACTGTTGGAACAAAAGACTTTCCTTACAACGTCCTGCTGCAGCAGGACTGGCTTGTTGCCACAAGGCAACGAGGCCCACGGAGGATTCTCGCTGTTCAAACACCTTTCTGCACACTCAGCAGATATTCACCAGACCAGGCTTTGTGTTCCCAGGCCTCAATGTCCAGTTGTGATTATCTGTAGCTGATGCCTTTGGCTCTTTAAATGAAACAAATGATTTTGTGCCTTACATTTGATGTCTTTCAGAGTTGGTTTAAGATGGGCGTTTCAAACACATTGTTTCCTCTAATCCGTTTGCGAACTCTGATTCGTTTTCACCTGTGACCTCTCTCACCAGCAGTACTGCTGCTCACTTTGTTTTGCGTCTGTCTGTCGTGCTAAAAATCCAGGACGTTTGCAGTTTCAAAAAAAAAGCTAAGGCAACGTCCAACTAAAGACCTTTTGAAAACCGTAGATATATTATAGAACACATTAATTTAGAAATTTTATATCTGTACAAGTATGTTTGTCTGAGAATTTCCCACCTACTGTTGGTGTTCCTAATATGCAGTATTATTATTTTTTAAATGTGTTTCTATTATTCAGCAGTAAATATTCTAACTTATAGATTATTGCCTTGCCCTCGTTTGTGCAGCCACACAACTGACTATTTACATAGCTGCACAAATGTCATTTTTCCAGTCAAAGTGTCTGTAAACTGTGAACAAATAGGGGAACAGTTGACACCTTGGTTGTTTGTTTAGATTATTTTCTTGCTTTAGCTCCTTACCTTCTTTTTTTTTTTTTTTTCATTCCCGTCAGGTTTACAACTGGAAACAAAACTAGTTCTCAGCTGCTCTGCGAGTTCTCTTTGCTGGTCAAACCCAAGTTTTAGGATTTAGATCATGAATTTTATCAGCGTTTTTCTTGAGGCTTTAAGACGTGAGGAAAATGCACTTTTTTTTCTGCGATGCTTCTATCTGTAAAAGTGAAATATTGCTTTTTGCCGCGTTTCCGAGTCATTGCTTTGTTCAGATGCGTTCTTACACTTGACCAATGCTTTAAATGTTTGCCCAGACATCTGCGCATATAGCACATTGTAAATGTTTACAGCTCTAATAAACAAGCAAAGCTTTCGATCTCTTACGTGTCAGGAAGTGTTTCACATGTGATCATGTGGCTTGTCACATGGTTTCCGTGATATTATCAGGATTTAAAACCTGAAATGGAAGAGTGTTACCATTGAGCACAGTGAGATTTAGATTTTAGATGAACAGAACATGACTTAATTTTTAAGAAGATATTTACATCATGAGAAAACAATTGCTCAGATATTATTCCAAACTTAACTTATTTAAAATTATGACTAACTGATTTACCAAAGCAGCTTCTTCCATAGTAAGCGTAATAGTACTGGAATACTATTACGCTTATACTAAACATGGTTAAAGATGTTATGAAGATATCCAGTATTTTAGCTGATTTATCAATGGAAAAAGAAAATACAGAAAATATAAAGCAGTTCTTTACCCAAGATTGATGTTTGGTCATAAATACCATTTTGGAAAATTTCACCTTGTTTGAAATATTACATCTTTAATTAAAGGGAGTTTAAAGTAAATTTTCTGATCACAAATTAAAGGGAATTCTTGTTTTTTTTTATGTCTTCATCAATCTGTAAAAGTACGGAAACTTTCTGGCGGTATGCTATTAGTATACTATTCTTGTTTTGTTGTTATTTAAAACCACTTTGGTGATTTTTGTTATTGTTGTTGCTGTTATTTTCATTCCTGCCACTGTTGGTGATCTTGAGTTCATTTAACAACCTTTAGCTGACCTCTGTGACTTTCAAATACACCAGATGTTTTTTAGCTATTTTTTTTTTTATCTCTGTGATTCGTGCCAACACTTTCCATCTTGTGATCCTTTTTAATGTTTTTTTTTTATTTTTTTTTATTTGCTGTATTATTAGTCAAATTGGCAGTTATTGTGTGAGTTCAACTTAAACTCTGTGACTTGAGGATAAATATTAACTGTCTAAAGGTATTCTCCACCAGAGGTTTCTTAGCCTCAAAAGCAAACATGCAGAACTTTATGTACTGGTGCTGTAATGTCAAAACCATTTGCAGATTTTCACAGAATCTCTTTCAGAATGACTACAAACACAGTAATAAGCATCAGGAAGTTACAACGTCAAATTGGCAATGTGGCCTATTAGATCATCAACTTTAGGAGTGTCTGTCCTAAAACTGGAATGACTCGTTAGGCCAAGTATGGTAGATTGTTGTAACATATAATCAATCCACTGTTCTAATGCTGAGTCCTGCTTTTGACAGAATAATAATTGTCATAGACATGCATGACATTTTAATTATAAATAAATAAGGTATGTGTTTAAAAAAGAACTAGGTCACCAGAGTTTGTTTTTATGTTGTTGTTTTTAGTACTTAAAGACCAGGCTAGACTTGTATGGTAACTTTTTCTGATTAAGTTCTTCCAGGTCAGAAAGGACATTTCTTTTCCTATACATGCATCTAGCTTCAGATATCCACTAGAACTCACTTCTAATTTAGAATAAAAAGGCTTGATTACTGACAATTTTACCCCTTTAATATTTTCTTGTTAAAAATGTCTAATATAATTCTTTTTAAGAAATCTAAAAGAAAACTTATACCCAGTAAACGTTCTAACATTGTGTACCAGTGCTTTCAGCAAGAAGTCAATCAGACTAAAGTCTGATTGACTTCTGATTGACTGATTGACGCCGGCAAGATGCTTATTCAGAACCAGCTGGATTGAGTGCACTTAGGGGTTATTTTATTTTAAATGTAAAGTGAATATGTCAGCTACACATAACAGATTCAAAAATGTTCTTTGACCCAAAAGGCACATTTGTGTTTTCTTAAAAAATGGTATTTCTTATGCACTGAAATCATAGTCATGATTTTATTGTTATAAAACTCGCTCCTAAAACTAGCCCATATTTTATAAAATGCTGATTTTATATGAATTACATCTTGGATTTAGGAAGCATATGGACAAAGAAAATATAAAGTATGCATGTGTGCTTTTATGTATTCTATGGTACATTAGCTTGCCAAATAGGTATGACTTCCTCGACATTTTGTACACTGTGCGCACAAGGATGTGCCGCCGCCCTGATTGGACCATTGGATAACCAAGGCGGGTTATCAGTTACACTATTTGCGCTGCGATTGGTCGTGGCTTCAAAGTGGGAAGTACGCCGGTGTCTCCCTGGTTGCGCAAAACGCCATTTTGGAGTGACAGTGAAAGATAACGCAAAGATCGGGTTGTCGTCTCTGTAAAGGTAATAACTGACTAAAAGACGTTTATTTTTGTACTTTAATGTTGCAATCTCTGTGTTAGAAGTCTTAATGTCCGAACTGATCGATTTGAGCGGCGTTTGGAGTGACGTCACGGTGTTCTCTGAGCAGTGACGCGGCAGTTCGCTAACGGCAGCTAGCGCGACAGCAGTTCCTGTCACGGCCGAGCTAAAAGCAGCCACTGCGGTTCCTTTTACCGAACTGGGCTTCGGTTGTAACTACGTTTGTTAAAACTATGTGAGTGTTGTAAACCTTCGTTGTGTGTTGTCGTGTGTCAAAATCCGCTACGTTTTAAATTGTCAACGAATCCAGTTAGCGGCTAGCCAAAGCATCCGCCCTTGATGAAGCTAACGTGGCTAAAACTACACTCCGTTTACTTTAGATTTAACTGTGTTTTTATTCTTGTCCATCCTGCCACTCGTAAACGTTTGTTTAGTTTGAGGTCGAGCTATAAACAAATAACTAAAACTAGAAATTTTAATATTATGCGTGTTACTAATACCAGGTTTACCAGTTAGAACAGGCCTTTCTTATCAAGTAGCTCGTTAGCTATTAAGCTTATCCGGGTGAACGAAAGCTGGATCAGTGTAGCGGCCTATAAAATCTGTTTTAGTTTTGCTCAGATCCCGTTTTGTTGTCTGAAGTTCGGTACAAGCATTTGTATATACCTTCAGATAATAAAAAAAAGCGGTGAAATAAACTGACTTTAACAATTGAGTAAGGAAATATTGTAGAATTGTTGATTATCTGTGGATTTGAACAAAAGCCGACAAATTGGTCAAAGATAATCAGGGGGAAAAACATTTGTCTAAACGTTTGCTATTTCAGATCTTATGTTGACTTTTCTTTCAGTAAAATTCCACTTTATTTTACAGCACAGTAAGTCACTTGAGGAACAGGTATGTTCGTAAAACAATTACATTTTTTAGGGGACTAATGACAAGTGTGCAGAGATGTCAGATCACTAGATTTTTGTTTTATGTGTCCCTAAAAACATAAGTTTTAAGTATATGGAAGAGTTTAAAAGTTTGTAAGGAAACTTAAGTGGTTTGTTTGGCCGAAATTGAAAGGTTCATCATTGCAGTATGCCTTAGGAAAGATCAGATCTTTCCTTAAAATGAAGATGAATCGGGGACAGAAAAATGAAATGTTCATCACTTTTCTTTTATTGTAGCTTAAGTAACCTGCTCATGGGTGATGTTCAGAAGACTACAGTCTGATGCAACTTTGCTTCCTTACTCCTTAAACCTCATCCTCGCATCCTTAATGTGCTACTGGATCAAAATGTTAAGTAGGTGTGAGAATAGGTTCTGTCTGGTTCTAATAAATTTTTATAGATAAGCTTCTTTCAGCACACCCAGCTTCTTGGTTCTGCAGAGCATTTTTTGAAGACTTATTTTGACTCATTTCATAAGTTTTTAATGAGTTTTTGGCTGTAAAAGGTTGACAGTATTCTATTTTTTTTATTTTTATTTTTGTATTACATCTTGAGGTGTATTGCCAAAACGACATAAATTATGCTGAGTTCTCTTGATTTCTAGAAGCCGTTTTATTATCAGCTCTAAATATTAAAGTTTTGCATTGAATTCCGTCTTTTGTTTTGTTTTTCTTGGTGCTGTAGTGATTCAGCTGACTCTTGTGACTTTGTTTGAGGGAGTCTTCCAAATGCAGACATAACTGGGAGATTATTTTAGATGCTTGACTGTAGAACCTGATTATCAATCAGTAAATTTGCAGTAACATTTTTTTTTAAAGTTACAATAGGTTTCTGTCTGTACCTCCTTCCATTATCTATTCTTAAACAAAGGTATACTTACCCATTGTGTATGGATTTGGTATTCATGGCAGTGAAATGTTTTTGATTGAAAAGATATATAAAAATCAAAGAAGTGTTCATTTCTTGTTTGTATGTTCTCTAAAAAAATCTTACACGTGTCCAGTTCATCAAACTAGGTTTTTTTGTTTTGTTTTGTTTTTTTGCTGTTATTTGTGAAAACAGATTTTGGTGAAACCAGAAATGTGATTCCCCATGCTGGTCGTTTCTGTTGTAGCAGAAGTACTTTAAGTCATTCCTCTTATTTTTCCATAATTTCCTCTTTGTGGAACAGAATGCACCCTTTACATTTTACTTAATTCCTGCTCTTATCCGTACACTTAAAGATGTTATCCGGTGCTTAAAGATGTTTCACCCCCTAACGGTTTTTCTCTCCGCTTTTTCAGCTTTGCCAAAATGGGGAATGTATTTGCAAGCTTATTCAAGGGCCTGTTCGGCAAAAAGGAGATGAGAATTTTAATGGTTGGCCTTGATGCTGCTGGAAAAACAACAATCCTATATAAACTGAAGCTCGGAGAGATAGTCACCACCATTCCCACTATTGGTATGGATTTTTTTTTTTTATCTCTTTTTACCTGGCTGTACAGATGAAATGTTTTTGATGTGCCTAGATTATGGATCATAATATAATTGTAAGTAACAAAATAAAGGTCTTGCATGTTTTAACAGTTTTTGTGCCAGTTTAAAGATCTGAATATAATGCAAGTTCTTGTTTGAAATCACATAAGTGTCTCTGCATTTAAGGTCACTGGTTTTAGATAAAATTGTTTAGTCCTTGACTTGTGTCAGACTATTACTGACTCTGGTAGTATTTGTGTAATTTACATTTCAGAAATGTTAAACTGCGTGCAGGTGGAATTTTGAGGTTTATGTGGAACAAGTTTATCCTCAACTTTCAGGACCTTGACTTTTTTCAAAGACCCTTCAGCCTGTGACTCATCAGTGCTTTTTCTTCCTCCTGCAGGTTTTAACGTTGAAACGGTAGAATACAAGAACATCAGCTTCACGGTGTGGGATGTGGGCGGTCAGGACAAAATCAGGCCGCTGTGGCGCCACTACTTCCAGAACACTCAAGGTGAGGAGTGACTTCATCCCGACCGTGTTCACTTCTGCCTATAGGTGGCCTTGTTGGTGCATAGAAGATGATTTTAAAGCAAGTGAACCAGTGACTCATGCTCCATTGTTCCATTCTGAAAGGATGTATTGTTTGACTCCTCCCTTTCCTGAAATCTAATTCATCAGAAAATGCTACGGACTGTAGAGGGTGATTGCCGTTTAGTTGTGTTCCTAGAAAAAACAACAAATTACTTATGTAGGTTTGGCATCTTGATGAAGATTTTTTTTTTATGTACCAGAAAGTTAAAGTCATGATTAAAGAGAGTTGGATCACTTTAGTCCTCGCTGGTCAATGGACTGCTTGAAATATTTCTATCTAAGGGTTAGTTCATTTGTTGGGTAGTAGTTGCAAAGCTCTTATTCCTTAAACCTCTGAGTGATTTAAATTGTTCCTATTTATAGATTTAAAAGTGGGCAAGCACAATGTTGGCAGTTACCTGGGTTACCTTCCCCTGTTCTGCCTGTAAGTCCTGAGGCTGGAACGCTCCGTCTCTTTAACTGAACCTGCCGCATATCAAATGACTGTCTCAGATCGCAGACATAACAGTATCCTCTATCTGTTAAAGGTGAAGCAGTGGGTTGGATAACCGTATTAATAACAAATTGTATGTAATTACCACAGTTGTTAGACATTTTGCTTTTCTTGTGACTCCAGAAAGTATCTATGTTTATACAAGGTGCTGCAATGGTCAGCTCAGGCTTTCCTACACTTATCTAAATGATTATAGTTTGAACCTTTTAGTGAAATATATTTTGCTTCATTTTTCTACTTTGAAGAGCACAATCGAGTGTTATGCAGCTGCTGTTATGTTTGTCATTTACTGATCTGAGAGCTCTCTCCAGATTCATCTAAATATTTTATCATCGGTTTGAGTTATTTGCTTTATTTGTCACCCAAGTATTGCTTTACTTGGCAGCACAGTAGGTATGTTTGCATTTCAAGCTCCTCAGTGTTATCCTGAAATGAGTTTTGGTTATTAAATCCCAGGGAGTTATAACCAAACTGAAGTTAATTATTAATGTAACAAACTCTTTGAAGTGGCTGTGCAGTCTGGTCATAAATGAGAAAATGCGAAAGAGATATGTTGAGGTTCCCCACAATATATCATAAACATTTTGTCATCGTAATATCGGTGAATGTGATATTTATATTGCAAATGACTGTTTTGATATGGTGCAGCCAGAATGTGTTGGCAAAGTTTCAAGAAGGTTGATATCCTCTCAGATAGACGTTGCTCGTTTCTGCAGGGCTTATTTTCGTGGTGGACAGCAACGACAGGGAGAGGGTGAACGAGGCGAGGGAGGAGCTGTCCAGAATGCTGGCTGAGGACGAACTGAGAGACGCTGTGCTGCTTGTTTTTGCAAATAAACAGGTAAGAGTCCCTGATGCGCTTTCATGTTCCTTTGACAATCAGATGAGGTGATTCCACACGTTCTTCGAAAATAAGTGTATTTTCCGCTCAGCTGCAGAATTTGAAGCCACAAACGTTTTGAAAAAGAAGCATTATGAAATTGTTTGATCTCAGATTCTCTTTAAATACAAGTTGCATGAACCGAGTTGGAAAACTGTTAGACTCAGATGGTTAGAGTAGTCATAAAATTATTTAAAAGAAACTAAGTAGGAGTTATTAATTCATCAGAATAAACATAGATATTGGTTCAAATGTACAAAGTTTTCCAGCAGTAGAAGCCAGAGAAGCTTATAGATCACCATCTGCATTCCTTCCTCCAGGATCTCCCCAACGCCATGAACGCTGCAGAGATCACAGACAAGCTGGGCCTACACGCTCTGCGTCAGCGCAGCTGGTACATCCAGGCCACCTGCGCCACCAGCGGAGACGGTCTCTACGAGGGCCTGGACTGGCTCTCCAACCAGCTGAAGAACCAGAAATGATCCATTCCACCAGTTTTTTGTTTTGTTTTTCCTTTTTTTTTTTTCTTTGTTTGTGGTTTATTTTTATTTTTTTATTTTTTTTCTGTTTCGACACCGCTGCAGCACCGGACCCCGGACCCCTCTGCTCCATCTCTACCCCCTTCCCCCGGACCGACCCGGCTCTTTTCTTTCGAGAACTTCCTTCCTGCTTTCTCCTCTTCCGTCTGTGCTCTCGGGGCTCGAGCCTGTGCTGCTTGTGTCTGTGTCTGTGTGTGTGTTTGCGGGTGGTGTGTGTGTACAAGAGTGAATGAGTGTGTGTTCAGCGAGTGTGTGTGTGGGCATGAAGGCGTCTTTGTGTGTGTGTCGGCTGGGATTGGGAGTAACCCTGGCGTGCCTTTTACACACCTCCTGTGGAATCAGCAGTCCGGTTTTCAAGACCTTTCTCCATCCACCGACGTCAGCCTCCTCCCCGCTCGGCCTACCCCCACTCTCAGTCTTGCACGGCCCCTTTCTCCCCACCCTAACTCCGCAGAGGAAGCATGGTTTTCATACGGCAAAGAAAGAGCAAGGGTGTAAGCTCTCCTCCCTTTAGTCTGATCTGTGATAAGTAGAAACGCTCACCCAGTGTAGATCGAATGCTAAATGTTAATTTTAACCTCCTTGATTTTGAAACCCACCAGTAAGAGATTCAGTAAATTGCATCTTAACCTGTATCAGGTCAAAGCAAAATCAAAAGAAAAAAAAAAGCAGAGTTTGAAAACGCGGGGAAAAAAAAGCAGTTCATCCTCGATCATTCTGGTGTCATTTGAAAATCATGCTGTTTGTTTTATTATTATTATATTGGAAATATAGCAGATTATTCCTATTGATGGCTCTCCAGTGGACACTAACTTTCTCCCCGAAGCACAAGGCAAGCCAACAATCTTCAAATAAAAGTCAAATTCTGTCAGTTTACGTATGCAGCCCTCGTCTTTTCTGCTCCCTCGGTAGCCCTCCTTTTAATTCCCCGGAGTAAATTGGATCTTTTGAGTCTGATAAATCATTCTGATGGTGTTCTCACACTCGTACTTAAGCCTGAGAACAGGAGCTTCACATTATTCCTTTAAGAGATGTTACATGTTTGTTTTTTCTGTCATTAGTTTTAGCATTTATATTGTACAATGACTGCTGAACCAAATGCATTTGAGCAGTATGACAAATCCTGAACATGGACGTAGTAAGAGCATCTCTGAGGGCCTGACCTGATTTTTCTTTTTTCTTTTCTTCACCAACGGTTGACGGTTTTTCTTTGAAACCTGAAAGCATCCAGCTGTTTTAGCTTTCGAAGTCGGGATGAAGGATTGGCACCAAAAATGAAGGCTCTTTAACTGTGAACAGTCTAGACAAGAAGAAAGGAAAAATGGCTGGAATGTCTGGGTGTTTACAGGCTAATACTCCTCATTTGTGTTGCTGCATACTTAAAGATTGAGGAGTACAACACCAGTCCTCCTCCTCTTCCTCCTTTGTTGGCAGCGAGCTGGAAGGACTCGGTGGCAGACCTGTTGAGGGGAATCGGTGTGCAGTTACCTGGTGCTGAGACTCAGCAGGCGTCCTCAGTGTTGAACCATGGGGGTTAAAGCTGGCACTTCTGTCAAGAAAGATTGTAAATCTGTAAGTTCCCCTGTAAACTGTTTCTGTGGGGATTTGCTGAACACATTAATAAACATGATTTGATCCAAACTCAAAGACAACTCTGGTTTTTATTTTTTTTAAAACGGTGGTAAATGTATTTCCCTTCCACCCCACAACAGCCCTCTTTAGTTTTCCAACTAAGTGGAGAATTGCAATAAATGGATAAGTTTTACTTTATACTTTGTCAGTTACACATTGCTAAAGGAAACGCACATAATCATTAAGTCAAATTTCAAAAATTTGCTGAAGCTGTTGAATTCTAATAAATCCTCAATTTGGATCTTTCAATTCAAATTCAGGCTTTTATATATTTACACCTTAAATAGGAAAATAAATCAGTATTTTAAGTATAAAAAGGGGTTAAGTCATATTTTGGAATGAATATAAATTGGTTTATATATGCTTGAAAGTTTGCTTCATTCTCAATTTTACAACACATTTTCTGACAAGTACTTGATTTTTGTTGGCTAAGCCACTTAAATCTCATCTATAAATCAGACTTTATTTTTTTTTTCAACTCAGTCTACGAGCCAATCCAGTTTCTACATATTTGACAGTTTTACTTTGAAACATTTACTTTTTTTTTCTACAGATTTTTGAGCAATGCATAAATCTTTCAACAAGAATTTAAGAAACACAATTGTAAAGGTAAACGCCACATCAGCCTGAAAAGTTTGTCCATGCATTTATGAATTACTGACTTGCTTCTTGCTCTTGAAATTATTCACTTTTCCCAAAGCTACATTGCTTTTACTGCTTGCTGAAATAATCACATAAATCTGCACCTGTGTTGTTTACCATTTAAATTTTGATTTCAATAGTTTCTTCTTTTTTTTTCAGATTAAAATCTCAGCAATATCCTTTATAGCTAGTTTTCAACAAACCAGACATAACCAAATAAGAAAACAATATGAGTTTTAATAAACACAAAGGTTATTCAAACATACCTCAGTATATGACTGAAAAGTGCTTTGTTCTCCCACAGCAGTCTGTGAATATGTAACCTAAATAGGACCACTGGTTAAAATGTACAAAAACACTGCTTTGACTACTGAAGAAACAAGTAACTCAATTGTTTCCGTTTTGCTCCAACATCTAGGAGACAAAGGATCATCTGTGTAGAAATATAAGTTCCCTGAACGTCAGAAATTCTGATATTCTTTCCTGCTAACAGCTAACATCATGATCTTCAATAACTGGAAAATCTTAATGAGTTACAACAACATTTAATTTCCCTTTGGGATTAATGAAGTATTTTTGAATTGAATATTGATTCTGACATGACAGTGAACATAGTGTTTATTTTTAGAAATAAAATCCACAACACGTGACGGTAATAAAATATAAGAGGACGAGTCATGTAAACATCTACAACAAATTTAAAAAAAAACTCAAGCAGTCCTCACACAGAAATTAATTTCATTCTCATGAATCAGATATTGTTTATTGTCTCGTCTGTACTGATGACAGCTCTTTACGGGCCTCAGAATTTCTCGGCGATTAAATATTTAATGAGTCATTACCTTCCAAAATACTTTCATACAAGACCAGCAACATTCTTTTATCTATCTGCACAGTGAGGCAGTTGCAACAACTACCCCGGCGTTTGTGTTGGGGCAAGATTCTGGGTTCAGTACCAGTCTGGGGTCTTTCTATGATAAGTCTACATGCACGTATATATTTTTTTTAATGGAGGGAAGTGGTTGAATTAGTTGAGAGTCAAAGAAAGGCCCATATTTTCACCAGGTTACACTGTATGAAAAGAACAATAAATAGGTTTACACTATGACGAGCAGAAAAAAAACAACACAACAACTAAGAAATCAGGTGGTTTCAACGAACCAGGTGACCTCATCGACAGAAGAAGGAGCGGCCGTGGCTTGCTTTCCTCACCCACCTGTCGGGCAGGCCCCGCCCACTCCGAGGTCTTGGCGCGCCGCTGTGACAGAATCAACTTTATGCCCACGTATGGAAAAAGAAACGCCGCATTTTGAACTCTGAGAAACGGACTCGCATGGAAGAAAAACCACCAAGAGACGCCGCATTCTGTATGAGCAGGTAGGGGCTCATGTGGAACACCGCGGGTTACAGGTAAGGTCCAGTTTGTTGAGCCTCTTTGTCCTGAGTTTCGAACCGAGAGTTGGCGCAGTAATGTCACTTTAATGGGCATTTTAGCACAGCGTGAGTTTAAGCTACGTCAGGAAGATGGACGTTAACGTAATTCTGGGCAGGGGGTGGGGGTTCCCAAGCTACATGACTGGATCATAAAACCTGTTCTCAAGTGTTTATACACATGAAAAGGCTGCAAACTGAATGTTTTAGTTTAATATAAGGAATTGGTACTGCATAGCAATCTTGAATCTTTTTTTAAAGAAAACACCTTTAACGGTATAACCCTGTAAAATTGAAAAAGCAGGTAATATTTAATGGCAATTAGTCACACAGTGTCTTACTATGTGGAAATCTGGGGAGCACATATAAAAGCAACCTAATGCCATTCAATAAATTCCAAAAAACAGCCATTGGGATTATTCAGAAAATAGGGATTTGCGAGCACACAAACACATTGCTTTTAAAGTCAAATATATTGAAACTTTATGATTTGGTTGAAAACTACACCATTTATGTTTAAAGCAAGTAATAAGGAATTTTGAGAATCCAGGGAACCTTGCTCCACAAGGTAAAGTAAGTAAAATGATAGATTATTCAATGTAAAAATCATTCTTGCATGTAAATAAGATTTGTTTGTTTTTTTTCTTTCCACAATGGATTCATTAATTATGATTTTATTCATTTAGTATATTCTGTACTCATAATGTTGAAATGTTCTCAATAAATGTGTGTTTTCCTACTGTGTATTCTGGTGCAAACAAACCTTTCGGACTTGGGACATTTTAAACAGCTAAGCTCTAAACGGAGACGGAAGAGTTAAATCAACTCGGATTCAATTTTTAAGACTGAAAATTCTGAGACTTTGCATACGAGTCTTCCAGTTCATCAAAAATGTTCTGAAATGAGCTGAAGAGTGTCAGTAACAGAAGGAAAAAAAATCAAATAAAATTCTTTGACTCATTTAAGCTGAAACTTTAGAACAAGACATGATTACGTTGTGCATTTCCCCTTATAAAATTAATTATATTTTCTGGAGCAGTAAAGGCCAAGAGATAAAGTTTTACGCCGAGAACAGTGTATACATGTTTACATGCTTAGCTTGTGCACGACTTCCGGGGTTGTCTTGTGTGTTTGTGGAAAATCAGGCTCAGATTTTTCTATGACTCGCTGCCACGTGAGTCTATTTTGAGAGACGAAAATACTAACCTGAGCCGTGCTGTTGTTCCTGTTGAGCCTGAGATTTACTGTCGTTTATTGTCCTGGTTTCGCTATCAGCTACAACAAGCATGATCGATGCCAACCAGTCTCGCGACTGTCTCGGACGGATCAGCACAAAATAATTAGTGTTTTTTTTTTTTTTTGGTGTTTTTT